AAAAAAAAAAAAAGGAATAAATAAAAGGTTAAATATATTAAAAGTTTAAAAAAAAAAAAACCCAAACAAACAGAACTAATAAACTTGGGTAAAAAATAAGTTAAAAAAACCACACGGGATTCGGGCACGTTCTGTGGGTGGCACAACGGGGCAGAGAGGTTGTTTTGGCACAGAGCTAAAAACGGGCAGAAGTCGAGGGGTTTGGGGGTTTTGGTGGTTTTGATGATGTTTTTTTTTCCCCTCCTCAAAGCTCTCCAAGTGTCCAGGCCAGGCTGGAGCGTGGGTTTGGGTTCCTGAGGAGCCGGGATGACAAAGCCTCCATTCAGGTGGACGCTCAGGATGGAACTGGAGCTCCAGGAGGCCCCAGAAAGGTTTTATTTTACCAAAAAGAAAAAAAAAAAAGGGTTATTTTGCAGGAAAACAACAAACCTCCCTTGTGCAGAGCTGTGTGAGCTGAGGCTGCTGGTGGGGTGGGGGCAGGATGGAATCTGCTCCAGGATTGGGGGTTTCTGTGTCAATAATGGGGAGGTTTGATCCCAGTTTGCTAAAATTTGCCTCTTTTAACCAGTTTTCAAGGTGGTTTATCGAACCTTTTGGAGCTGCCCTGGTGTCCTACCCCCCCCCCCACCAAAAAAAAACCCAAACCCAAATTCTTGGAATTGTGTGTTGTTGCCAAAGCCAGTGATTTTCCGTGTGGATTCGTGTCCAGCAGCCAGACTGGGCTGGGCTGCCCCACCCACCCTCCCCAGGTGCCTAAATCGAGTTTAAGGCTGTCCCAGTGGCCTCTTCAGTGCAGGACTTTAAGCTCAGCTCAGTGTTTCCAGCCTACAGGGACGTTCTGGGAAGACTGGAGATGGGAAGCAGCCTTGGATCTGCCTCCTCGAGAAAATTCCAGCCAGTTTCTGTTTAATTTTTTCCAAGTGAAGGGTTTAAGGAGTGTTTGTTTTGAGGAAAAGGTGAGGGAAAGGTGAGAATGTGGGAGCTCCTTATCCCTGTTCCTGGGGCCTTTGGCATTTTTCCTGCAAACCCCACGGAAACAGGGATGGTGGGAAGTGGTTCAGTGCTGCTCTTCCAGGGATCTTGGCTGTGTCTTGAGGCCACTGCAGATGATTTGTAGTAGAAAAAAACCATTAAGTTTATTGCTTTTTTTTTTTAACAACCAAAAGTACAAAAGATTCTTTACAACATCATCTCACAGATGATTCACGTCACAGAAATCCAGGTTGGTCCCACCTTTCTGGGATTTCACCGTCCTCTTTCCCTCCCACTTCCCAAGGCCTCAATCCCAACCATGAAGTTGGGAGTCTTGGGGAAGTGCTTCCTGCTGGAAAAGAAGGGGGTTTGTGCCTCAAGTTTGGCAGAGAGCTGGAAGGGAACAGGAAAAACTCCCTTTCCTGAGGGAGGTTGTGGTGGTAACTGGAGCCTCTGGAAGGTGGGAGAAGCCCAGGGGTCGGGAATCCCCCAGATTCCCTTCCTGCCCCGCGTCCATCCGTGACTTTCCAAGGGACCAGGAGAACACAGAAGCTCTGGAGAACCTTTTCCCTCCCCGAGGGAAGCACCAGGACCGTGGGGAGCAGGGGGGGCTCAGAGCAGGCGGCCCCGGCAGTCGATGGCCCCACAGCAGCACAGCAGCTCTTTGCCCTCCACACTCCCCACCTCGTAGTTGTAATCCCAGGTCAGCTCCGTGCCCGCCCGGATCCTCCTGGGAAGTGGAGAAACACGGGCATGGGTGAAGAGGCAACGCCAGGAAAGAGGAAAAGTGGAATGATGGAAGGGAGCCACACTCCCTGTGACCCCCTCTGGACAGTCCAGCTGCCCCTGGGACAAGGGTGGAGCAGCTGGAGAGCAAAGGGACAAAGTTCCTGATGAATCATTCCCGCAGGGATTCACGGAGGAGCCGAGAGGAGCGTGGCAGGGATTCACCACAGCTCAACCAAGCTGGGAATTTGGCTGCTCTGTGCTTCACTCTGCCCTTTGGGAAGGTCTAAAACCGAGGGAAATCACACCAGGATCTCCAGCACAGGACAGAGGATCTCACCTGCCCTCACCTCCAAGGTTTTCTCGGCTCAGGATGGGGTGAAACTGGGAATGGGGTTACCAGGAGTAGGGAACACCCAGCCCTGGCCACGGAGCTGGGTCCCAGGAAGCCCCAGGAAGCCCCAGGAAGCCCCAGCCCTCCCCAGGGCTCCAGGACTCACTTGCTGGCGAAGAAGGCGACCCAGGGGAAGCGAAGGTCGTGGGTGTCCACGAAGACGTTCTGCACGAAGAGGTTTGGGGAGCAGCTGTGCTGTAACAGCAACAGGGACGGGCTGAGCCGCTGCCAGGGGGGGAGGCAGAGCAGCCAGCCCTGCACAGCCTTCCCAAACAAGCAGCATTCCTGCTGTGCCCGCCGCGTCCAGCGGGCTCCTGCTGGAACAGGCCGAGTCACACGACCCACCCTCACAGGTAACACCCACCCTCACAGGTAACACTCACCCTCACAGGTAACGGG